TTTTTTTTTTTTTGTTTTGTTTAAAAGAAAGTCTGCAAGCAGCCATAGTACCCAACATGAGACCTAGCTAGAATAAGGACAATATGTTCAGTATATTTCTGAAGTAAAATGAGTCACCGTTTTATTTCTCACTGTAACATGCACTAAGTGCTTAAAGCTGTCATTATTTCAGCCTTCACATGTTCTGGAAAGGACAGGATGGCAGTGTAATTAATAGTTACCTACCGATATGAATCACAGATCTGCAGAAGGAAGCAAGCCAAGAGGGAATGTCAACTCTACACCAAAAACAGGAACAAGACAGTACCAGGAAGAAAGATGGGGGAGATTAAAGCATATCCTGAAAGTAGAAGTGCTGTTATTTTTAAAATCCAAGGAAAAACAGAACTGCAAGTCAGATTAAGTAACCAACAATTTTACTTATAGATTCAGCAAAAGAAAATGAATGAAAGAAGCTTCTTCAGGTAAAGCCAGAAAACAAGTTCTCTATGCACTAACTCATCTTAAAGGTTTAGGACATCACATTGCACATTCAAGCCAGCAGCATAGATGACTCCTGCTATTCACCAAGTTATTCCATAGTTTCTAGAGAGTCATACCAAACACTTAAAATAGTGTTCAATATGGAAAAAGATTAAAGGGCAGTACAAATACAACATCAATTTGCTGATACTTCTCTACAGAAGCCCTTTGTTTAGGGATTTTCCTTCATTCCATTTTTAAAATTCACAGTTTGTTTCCAGCTTATGAAATAGCACTGGGTAGTCTTTTAATAGCTATACCTCCTAACTTTCTTAGAGGACACCTTTTCATTTAAGCCTAACAACATTTAGCCAAATCCTACACAATCATCTTATTCATTAAACTTCTGTTTGCCTCTGTTTCCATAATTGTACCCTGCAAATTTGAAATGTGCATGTCAAAAGTTACGCAAATCTAGCACATCATGCATACATGTGCAATCTTTTAAAAAAAAGCAAATGGAAAGGGAAGTTAGCTTCATGATTTAACCCATGAACACTATTTCCGAATTAAGAAAATGGCAACTGGCTCTCCTCCTGCACTCTCCTCAGAAGTTTTAGACATTCAGTGATTGTCGTACTTGGATTACAACTCAATCCTTTAAGCCTACAGTACTGTACAGTGTTATGCACATATCCTCAATATGCTTATGTTACTGATGCACTTATTTTTTGTACAGCTGCTGCTTTTTATCTGTGTAAAAGTATTCACACAGTAAGGCATCTAGAGATTGGAAATAACCAACCAAATGGAACTGGTTGTGTAGAGTGAAAATTAAAACTTTGATACAACAGAAATATACCTAGCCACACACTTTAATACCACTTAGCGCAGTTTGTCCTGTTTGAGATGCAGAAAAGCAAGACAAGGGAAGAACATACAAAAATACATGTATAAGAACAATCAGGATGGATGCTCAGAATACAAGTTTATACTATTTACAATTGAAGTATCCCATGCAATTTAAAACATGAAAAATCCAATGCACTGAAGATGTAATAAATACAATGACACCACATTAAGGGATTTGTTTTATTTTTGGTTTACAAACAAAAAAGGCACCCAATGTTTCTATTTATACCTTATAAAAAGCATACAATTTGACTTTTTTCCACTTCAGAATTCGTCTCTATGGCAGAAAACCTTATTACAGGCCAAAAAAAAAAAAATCTTCTCCTGGTCCCAAATTTTAAATACCAGTATACTTGTTTAGTGACCACCTGATTTTAGTCTCCTCCTCAGATCAGATCCCATTGATTTTAGTGACTCGCAGGACATAGTTTACACTCTGACTGTACCCAAGTATAGAACCAATGTATTATTAAACATTTATAGTTCTGAAACCAAGACAGAATGTATGAGAACTGAACTACTAAAAGGTGGGGAAGGAGG